AAAGTGAGAAAGCAAGCTGCCAGGTCTGGGACTTGAATGGTGGTCAGCCATGTGGGAGTCGAGCACCCTTAACCACCTGCTGGCTCCCCTACTTATTTATTTTTAAGGAGGAGAGTGTGCATGCGCAGCAGACAGAGAGGCCGAAAGCACGCCTAATGGAGCACAGTCCCCCTGCAATCCCTTCTCTTCACTTTCTCCATCCTGTCAGGATGTTGACATATGCACATGTGCCTGGCATGTTTCTCAAGCCACTGGAGCTAGGATTCAAACTGTGAAGTCAGCCACCAGAGATGCAGCTCTTTTAACCACTAAGCCACAAGGCTGGCCCTCACCTGATCTTTTTATTTTTAAGATTTTTGCACATGTGCTCGCCAGAGAAAGATAGCAAAATACAGCAAGAGGGAAAGTGAGAAGTCATTCCCTGGGGGAAAGGCCACGCCACCATCCCTTCTCCTCTGTTCTCCTCTCAAGACTTTGAGCATGCATGTACATGCACCCAGCATGATCTTCTAGCCTCCAGGTTCAGGACTCGACCTGCTGTTGGCCATGTCGGAGTCTCACACCTTAACCACTACGCCAGCACTGTTCTCGTCTCCCGATCCTTTACATTTCAACCTCTTGGGTAAAAAATAATTGGGGCTCAGGGAGGATAAGGAACTTTCCTGAGATACCAGTATCTGTTTATCTAGTAAACTATGCATGCTCACATTTCAGGCATGAAATGCTCTAAGTACTTGCCGAGTACAAATTAGTTTAACTCTCATGATGACAAACCAATGCGCGCCAGTTTCCCACTTACGGGCACTGAGGCACAAAGAGGCTAAGCAGCGCCAGCAGGTGGTGGTGAGGTTAAGGCGCTGGATCCCACATGGCTGGCAGTGGCTGGAAAACCATGCCGGGCACATGCGCATACATGCCCAAAACCCCAAGAGACTGGAGAAGGGATTGCAGTGCTGTCATCCCCCTAGGAGGTGATTTCTCACATTCCCTCCCTCCCGCCGGCAAGTGCGCACACCCTATAGCAAAAACTGAAAAAGGAAAAAAAAAAAAAAAAGTTAAGCAACGCGCCACAGTAACAGAACCAGAGCCCAGCAATCTGGCTCGAGTCCTGCTCTCTGCTGCTTATGCCTGGCAGCCCCTTTCTGCAGGAATGTCTATCTGACCACGGCCGGCTCGTTACAACATCGCAATGCACGTGAGCACGCACGCATACCACTGACCTCCAGCTCATCCTTGGAGGCTGCGTCCAGCATCACGAGGTCCTTCAGAAAGGTGCCCAGGTATGGGACCACACCCTGAAGGCAGGGGTCAGGGTCAGACACGCTTGCCCCTGATCTCAGGGCCCTCCACTGCGCTCCATTATCTCAGAGAACAGGTTTCGCCCTCCTCACCCCACCGTGCCTCCCCTCTCCGGCCCTCAGCCTGCTCCCTGCACACCTGCACGGGTACCCCTTTCTCCTTCACAACCCCTGCCCGTCACTCACCCCACCCCGACAGCCAGACCTCGGGGCCTTCTTGGAGTGTGGCTCCAGAGGGGGCTGCAACTTCACCTCCTGGTGGTGACAAAACAAAGAGATGGGGGAAAAGTAGGGAGCAGGTAGGGCCAGGAATGCCAGAAAATGGGTCCTCACCTGCAGGAGTAGCTCCCGGCTCTGAGAATAATTATCCTCCTCGGAGAAAATCTGGCAGAGGCTGGAAAAGATTCTGAGACTGTCCCTGGAGGTGGAGAACAGAGGCCTTGAGGACAGGCCCAGCTCAGTGTCCTCTGTCCCCAGCGTTCAGAGGAACCGTGGCCCCCACCCGGTGCCCGTGCTCCCCACCTGGTTGCTTCCCCCCAGGCTGCCCGGAGCCTGTGGATGGGGCTGGACTGCAGGGCCGACACAACAGCATAGACTGAGGAGAAGTTTCGCAGCAGCCGGCACTCCTGTGGGAGCCAGAGGGAGGCTGAGACTGGGGGACCTCGCGCCACACCATCGACCCCACCAGGACAATCGTCTCTTACCTCTGCCACACGAATCCACTTCTCCAGGAGCCGGGCCCTCTGGGGGGGACGGAGTGGCCGAATGGTCACCTCCCCAGGCCCCTCTCCAGTCGGGGTGGCGCCCAGAACAGAGCTAACCACTGCCCCTGCCACCTTATTGAACTGTGTGACAGTAGCCCGGACAGATGGGCAGAGGTGGGAGTGTCCTGGCCGGTCTCTGTGACCCCACAGGGCCCCCAGGCACTGAGAGGGGACCAGGTTAAGAAACAGCTCCTGCAGACAGAGGACAGAGGTTAAAGTTCATAGCCAAGTGAAGTCAGCCTTCCAATATCAGGGAGCTGAGGATCTAGCTGGCCAAGGGAACGGGGACACAGGGTTCGAAGGGTAACAACCAAGGGGGAAGGGGAAAGGTCAAAATGCTAGATGGAGGAGGGCAGGGGTTGGATCAGGAGGGGTTGGAAGCAAGGAAAGGTTCTAGAATCAGGGAGAGGTTAGTTAGGGGTCAGGGGGCATGGGGGTCAGAGGTCAGGGTCTCACCGCATCTAGCAGGGTCAGCTGTTCGGCCAAGTGGTCAGCGAGGAACACCAGGACATCCGTGGGGTCAGCAGGGGGATCGCCAGGGAGGGCCAGGGGCTTAGGAAGGTCGGGGGTCTGGGGGTCCACCCGGGACCGGAGGTTTCGGATGAGGTCAGCGCTGCCCCCCCCAACACCCTCCCCTGCTGCATACCCTGTCCGAAGCAAGAAGCTCTCAAGCCGGTCAAGCTGACCCTTGACCTCAGAGCCAAAATCCTCAGGGTGAGAGGTCAGCCAGGTTGACAGTACAGAGATGGCTACCCTGAGAGAAGGGGAATCAGCCAAGGGTCAGAGGTCACTGCAGCCTGAGCAGAGGGGGCCACGAAGTTAAGAATCAGGGGTCACTCACCCTATTGTCCTCTCTAGTTCCTCAGCAGAATGAGACTCAAGGGCTTCCAGCCTGGGAAGGGGAAGAGAGCCTGTCCGTTTTCCCAGACCTCCAGAGGCTGGCTGTCTTGCTGGGACGTTTGGGCTTTAGGAAGTCCAGACACTCCCCCGACCCTGGTTCCTCGCGGCCCTGACCTGTCAGCCACGAGCCCGAGCAGGACAGGTGTGGAGGTGAAGGCCCGGTGTGTAGCCAGGAAGGCTGACACGAAGGTCACGTCAGCCCCTGAGGTCCGGGCGTCCAGCAGGTGTCTGACCAGCGCCTCCAGAGTGCCAGCTCGGAGCCGCCTGGAGGACCGCGGCGGGGGCGTGGGGGCCTGGAAGACACACAGGGCCCATCACTGACCCCTTCTTCAGCTCTGCCACTAGGTCTCCAGGGATAACCCCAGACGGAGGAGAAGATCCAGACTCATTTTGCTGAGGCTCCGAGAGGACAGAAGGCCCAGGACGCCAGCACTCCGGCCAGGAGTCAGCCAGAGGGAGGGAGCTGAGAAGCAATGGGTCCAGGTCAGGGTCTCACCAAGGGATCCAGAGGCCGATACTGGCGGCTTGTGACAGTAAAGGTGGCACCGTCCTCCTCCTCATCCCAGACAGACACCGGGGCCTGGAGGAGCAAGGAAGGGGAAGTCAGAAAGTTTCCCCCACACGCCCTCAGCCCTCTGCCCAGGCCCTGCTCCTCCCCCTGTACCCCTCACCTGCGGCAGCGGGGGACAGTACCAACGAGTGCGAGGGGTGGGGGGGGCTGGTGCCCCCAGGTCTCCCCCACTGGGGCCCAGGCAGCCCCCCCCAAGTCGCCTCAGGGCCCGGTGGAGGCGAGGGAGTTGGACTGGGGGTGTGGATGGAGCACAGGAGCCCTTATCCTGCAGACCCCCGAGGCCCCTTCCCCCCAGAGCTGAGCCCCAGCACAGCAGAGAAGCAGGGTGCAAAGGGCAGGGGAGGGAAGCGAGAGGCAGCAAGGCAGAGGCGGCCCCTCCGGCTGAAACTTCAGTCACAGGCAGGGCCACACGCCCCGCCCGCCCAGCTCGGAAGAATTAGTCCCTCCCTGACGTCCCGGCTCCCGGTGGCTCGGGTGAGGCCTCCACTATCTTAGCCCAGGGACCCCCAGAAGCTGGAAGCTGCAATCCCAGTACGGGAAGGAGAAGGGGAAGTGGGGGTGATGTTGGGGGTAGTCTCTGAGAGTCACGTGGCTCGCAGCCCCTCCCACGACGGATCCCGAAAAACCAGCCCTGCCAGTCACCCTGCCCTCACCCAGTGTCTGGACCCAAGAGTCCAAGGCCTCCGGGCCCCAAATCCAGCTCCTGTCCCCTCCCGAGGCCCACAATCCCCCTGGTCACTGCCATTACTCCCTAAGGAGAGCAGGTGACCACCGTCTACCCATCCGGGCCCCTCCCTTCAGGTCCCAGGACCTCAACCTCCTGGTCTGGACGAGCACGAGCACGGGCCAGAGGAGGTGGGGGAGAGGGAGGGGTCACGAAATCGGAGGGTTCCCTCCCCAATCCCAGAGTCACCGGAGCTGGTTACTGTGGAAACAAACCCCTCCCCACCAAACAAACCGAAGAGCGAGACAGGGACCGACACAGCGCCGGAGAGGCAGGCGTGGGCCGAGGGCCTCGGCCGGCAGGACGCCAGCGAGGCGCGGCGGGCTGGGGCAGGGCAGGTTCCTGCGGGCAGGTCCTGAGTCACACTGACACAGAACCACAGAGACGCCAGCGCTCGGGCGGCGGGGACACAGGCAGACACCACGAGAGGCGCGGACAGAGCAGAAGCGGGAAGAGATGTAGGGGCCAGAGACACCGAGAGGAAGGTGCAGAGTCTCCGAAATACACACGCCCCTGGCGCCCGCCACCCGCGACTCACCTCTTCATCTTCCTCCTCCTCCTCTTCCTCCTG